AGTTCTAAAATCCTAGACACCAAAAAAAAATTTTTTTTTTTGTAGGCCTGTGTAATGTATTGAGATAGGCTACAACTGGTTTATTTTCCACCCTTTCCATTTTGATATATTTCATCACACTTCACATGATAATCTATAAACTCTGTAGGTAATGTGTCACTAAATAACACACAGATGTGTCTATTTCTACAACTAATTTCGATATTGTGGCTAAATTGACTAGACTGATGATTGAACATGTAGCAAGGGTGATGAAGGAAGAAAAGTTTATGGATTTTTAGCTGGAAGACTTCACAGAAAAGTAAAGGCAGATATGAGAGAATGAAAGTGAATTTTGAAGATGTGAGGTTGATTGAGCTGATTCAGAATTGTCAGAAGCCAAACTTTGGTATTGGCAGTGGTGAGCCTCTTTATTGCCACGGATTACTGTGGGGCTTCCTTATTGGCTGATTTTAGAGTTGGTTGGGTGATAGCAAATACAGTATCACACAGTGCCACCTATGGAGGAGCTGAAGAAGCTCATGTAGCTTTAGTCTGACAGAAACCATGAAAAGGGGACAAAACCCAATAGTGGGGGTTGGTGTAACACATGAAGGCAGAAGAGCTAACACGTTTTCTGCCAGGTCCCTGTTCTGGGATTTCACCTGCTGGGCCAGCCATTTTTCCATGAAAATTTAATTTTGAATTTATAACACTTGAAATGTAAATGTAAAAGAGCAAATAAAAAACATTCAATAATCACTGGATGTTTCCACTCTCTCAAGCTTTGACAAGCTACACTTAAAGAGTTGCTCTGCATTTAAATGACATCTGCAGGAGAGAATGAGCTTTATGTATACAGTGGCAACAGCCCATCACTTGACGAGATGGCCACCAGCATGCAGTAAACTTAAACCCGTCACGTGACGGGACCGGTAACAGATGTGAGGTGTAGTTAACCTGGATCTACTGTATGAACGAAGGTACACCATAACTTGTGTAGACACCTGAAAATAGTAGATGGTGCACAGCATGACAGTGTTGTGTTGTGTGTCTGCTTGTAGGTCCTGAAGGTATGGAGAAATTCTGCGAAGACATCGGTGTAGAACCAGAGAATGTGGTGATGCTGGTATTGGCATGGAAGATGAATGCACGTCAGATGGGTTTCTTCACGCAGCAGGAATGGCTGAGAGGACTCATGGATCTACAGTGAGTACTGCCCAGTCCTTTAGCACAAGTGACTCACTCACTGTATGTGAAGCTCTGGGTGAGGCTGACTGAGGCGCTTGTTCTGTGTGTCTCAGGTGTGACAGCATCAGCAAGGTGCAGAGTAAACTAGACTACCTCCGGTTGCTCCTCAACGACCAGGTCACTTTCAAGAGCATCTATAGATACGCTTACGATTTCGCTCGGGTAAATGATACTTCTCCACTTATATAAGTAAAGTATATGAATGTGTGGAGCAAATGTCAGTTGATTTTTTTGATTCCACTGCATCCCTCCCTGTTTCCAGGAGAGCAAATTAAAGTTTATGAAATATCTTTAAAGTTGTCATTTTGCACTGGCTGGCTATGTTACACTTTCTTTCTGACACTAGACATGGGTTTGGATTGTAAGTAATATAATAAAGTCGGGACTAGGCAGCAAATCAAGAAGGGATGTAGAAAGTCGTCTTCTGGGTTTAGGCACCGTGTATTCTTCGTTTTGGCCGACGTTTCGGAGGAACGTAGCGCCTCCATCTTCAGAGCAGTTGAATGGTTTGGAATGCGGAGAGCAGTAGCTGTGGTGATAGGATGTGAAAGGTGCTGCTTATATACGAAGTAGGCAGGGGGGGTGGTTAGGGAGAACAGACCAATGGGAGCAGTGGGGAGTGATTAAGACCAAATATGGTGTTGTGTTGATTAAGGGAGGGGGGGTTGAGAAACGGCCAGAGAATCCAGGAACCTTGAGGTCAATAGCACTAGGAAGTGCTGTAGACAAGGAGAACCGGTAGGTTGGGGACAGGCTATTGACGTCAATGACATGACGAAGAACTGGTGTGGCTAGTTGGATTCTCTTGAGGGAAGAGATGCTACCATGTCTGTCGAGATTGTTGAGAGCGATAAAAGCCATATGATGTAGTGTGCTAAG